ACTGCATTTCTTAGTTATATTTCATAGGTCCCTTAGATGTAATTATTTGCATTTGTGAACTCATATTTCACATATTTTCTGACCGATCAGCTATGTAAATGTAGTCCTTATTTCACATAATGTTTCATATTAGTCATGCCTTGACCTTGAGGTCTGTTTTAGACAGAAATGGGAATTGATTCTCCCATGCTTGCATTTATTCCTACGTAACATCACATTTGCTTTAACCAGCCTCACCTTTTTGTTAGAGTGGCCTGTGATGCAAATGCACCTTTGCTCCTAATTTGTAGAAGGCATGGAGACAGCTGCAGCAGTTGGTTAAACTCCTGAGACTGAAAGAAAGCACATCATGACATCATACTAGAAAGTTCAAAGCCTGTTTTAGTTTTCTTCCATTCCACAAAAAAAAAAAAAAGGGTTGTGTTTGTTGTTTTCCAGTAACATCTTGAATAAACTTTTTTTTAATCTTCTATTCATTACTTTTCAGACTTTTCTTTAAATTAAAAGATCCTTTCTTTTCAAAAATAATAAAGGGATTTTCATTTGATTTGTTCTAAATGCCTTTCTCTCACATTATCACAGCAAGAACCAACCTCTAAAACTTTCTATGAGTACAAGTGTGTTAGATTGATTACAAGTATTCCTACTTACAAGTGTATATGCAAGCATTTCCAGTACAAAGTTGATAAACTACTTTATGATAGTATAGTGTTTTACTGGAATGACTGGTGCACCAAATATTCCTTGGCACTATTATTTTTCCCTCTCCCTGTCAGTGAAACCTGGTTAGACCATTAGGTCTGATTGTAATCATGCCATTGGTAAAGTAGTTGAGTTGAGCATGTCTTCTTATCTAGTGGTTTTGAAAGCTGTTTCTTATCCTCGTCTTTCCTGTTCTTCCCATTTTAGAGTTGAAGAGCCATCTTAAACCAAAATATGTTGCTGTACATGTTTACCTCTCTTCATTCAGGACTGATTGTTTCCATTCATGTCAAGATGTACCCAAATATAGCAGGAGTTTATTTTTAATTCAATACTAAGATAATGTGTACAATATCTCATATAGCTCTACAATATAATCTGTGGAATACCTTGCTCTCATAATTGTGGTTATTTACAGAAACAGAAGAGCTAATAAAATGTACAGCATTATATTTTATTTATGTAGTTAACCATCCCTAATGATCTGAACTAATACTTCCTATTTGTGTGGTTTTTTTTTTTTATAATTTTAAATTCTACCCTAGACATGTTCAGACCATGTGTTTGTTTATACATTTAGTGCTTTGTATTTTATTTGATTATTTTTTATTCCTTCTTATTTAAATAGTAGCAACAACACGTTGGGCATTTTTCTTTTCTAAATTAGCAATTACTTTAAGAATTTGTCAATAATAATAGTAAGCAAATGAGTTTCAGAGGTGACAGAAAAAAATCCTTTTTTTAATTATAATGGATTCAAGACTCTGCATGTGTAAGGGAAGTATGATCATGGAATCATAGAATACCCTGGGTTGGAAGGGACCTTAAAGATCATCTATTTCCAACCCCCCTTCCATGGACAGGGGCACCTTTCATTAGACCAGGTTTTTCAGAGCTCCATTCAACCTGTCCTTGAACACTTCTGGGGATGGGGCATCCACAGTTCTCTGGGCAACCTCTTCCAGTGTCTTCTACCCTCACAGTACAGAATTTTTCCCTCATATTTAATCTGAACCTACTGTCTTTCAGTTTGAATCCATTCCCCTTGTCCTATTACTACATGATGAGACAGTAGCCAGCAATTTTATAATTAATTTGAATTTTTTCATCAAGGTGTCTAACAATGTTTGCTCTTCAAAGGCATTCTTTTATCACTTTTGAGTAGCTACTTTTAGTTTGCATTTCTTTGACAAATTAGATGAAAACATGTAGTTACATTGTCTATAAAGATATATATTTTTTATTGATTTTTAAAGGGATTTGTGCTAAGGATTATTTTAGGGTTGTTTTCGGTTTTGGAGATACTAAACTAACTGCTGCTTGTTTGATGTATTTAGTAATCAAAAGTTTTTACTGCTCTTAAGTAAATTGCTTTTTATTATGTAGATATGGTTTGTTATGTGTTCTATTGCAAAAGAATAGATGTATATTACCAGATGAAATTAGCCCGTCCTTTTTTCTTAATGTGACACTTTATTTCCACAGCACAAATGAAACATATCAACCTGTCCTTTTCAGCTTGTGGCTTTCTGGGAATTTACCACTTGGGGGCAGCAGCTGCTTTTTACAGGCATGGTAAGAAGTTACTAACAGGTGTGAAAGCTTTTGCGGGAGCTTCTGCGGGATCTCTGACTGCAGCTGTCTTGTTAGCAGTGCCAGAAAATATAGAGGTAAATCAGTAAACTCGTAGGTATAGGCCATAATAATTTTCAAAGGACATTTTTTTAATATAATCATCTTCAATTAAGTTTATTAAAATATTATGTTTCTTGTTTTTATTCTTCTTACTATTTGCTAGCAACAGACTCTTGTGTGTTGTTTTCATTAACCACATCTATGACTTGTGGGCAAAACTGTTTATGACAAAAATACATAAAAGCTACATAAATAGAAATCTGATGTGTGTGAATGTTGAGTTGTAGGCAACCAAAATGTATATGTACTTAAGGGTGATACATTACAAAGTGAATCATTGTTTTCTTGGCTAGAGATAGGCTTTGTTAAGCAAGTGCATAGCACCATCCTTTCATCCTTCTGTGAAAGGACATGAAAATGGTAGATGAAAATGGTAGATGGAATGTATCTTCATAAACACTACACACCTGCTCAATTTTTTTCCTTGCTGCCTGTGCTCCATTAGACAGCATAAGAAGTGCCCTGTGTGTCTTCTTTAGACTCAGTACAGCCCATGCCTTATCAGCAGTAGCCCCCACTGTGTGCCTGGGAGGATTAACCCTCACAGCGTTCTGTTCTGACATGCTGCATACAAGTGTCTGGGTTGTTTTTCCTCCAGAGATACCACTCCTTTCTCACAATGCATTTGGTGTCATGTAGAGACGCCAGTTTTATTTAATGACTGCACTGTTACAGGTTCTGTGGGAGAGCATAACTTTTTTTTTTCTTTTTTTTAATTTTTCCCCAGAGGTTAAAGCTGCTTTGCCCTTCTGAAGTGCTTGTAGTGACTTTGCATTAATATATGTAGAGGACCAAGTATTGCCAAAATGTTTTTAATGTCTTATTGTGGGCAAAAACAGGCTGTAAGATTTTTGCTCTAAGTACACTTATATTTCAGTTCTGTGAGTGTTGGGTAACTTTCTCCAGGCCTTGCTTATTTCACTGCATTTGATTCCAATAACAGTCCCAGCCAAATCACACTTGGCCACTATCTTTTTGTTAGTTTGTATGTTGGTTGTTTCTGCTGGGATATGAATTCATTAACTGTACTTCTGTTGCTTTCATCAGTAGGTTCTTCCCTGGCTTCTTTCCCCTCACCTGACTCCCCCAGGTGCATTCTTTATGTGATTTTGATATTAGGCAAGTTATACTGGTGTGAGAAGAACCTTGCTTGTATCCTGTTCAGGTGTTACTCCCTTTCTGTCATCTCTGACTGGTGGTTCAGCTCCAAGTTTGCCTGGTGTAATGTGTACCTCTGACTTTAATTTCCTCTGTGGTGAGCACAGCAGCCCTTTGTTAGCCCAAGGAAATTTTTCTGCTTATTGTAGGCTCTGGGTATGAGCACTTGTTCTCAGCCTGGTCCAACTTACAAAGATGTTTCTAACTAAAAATATTTGAACAGTTTTAGCTTTTGTTTGTGGAAATTAAGGCTATATTATATTGAATCTGATGGATTTTTCCTTTGAAAATTTGTCATTTTATTGCAAACTGAAGAATGTTTCATTAACTTTTTACTCCTTTTCATTTTTTTATGTACATTTTAGTTATTCTGTTATATTGTTTAAATGGAAAATTGAGAGATATTTTATCAAGGAGAATAATTCTTTCTAATTCTCATGGAATTTAAGTAAAAGCAGTGTTGTGTACTGAATAGAATTAACTTTTCATATCAGGATAATTATATTATTATCTTTACTACATTTCTAGCTTGAAATATTCAATATCCACAGATACAGCTCTTAATCAGTTAATTATTTTTTCTGGGTTTTTCCCCTCTCCCCAGAGATGGCAATGTTAGACAAGCCATAATTAGGACTTTCTGCATCTCCTAGTCTCAAAGCTCTAATGCAACCTGTCCTTATCCTGAAGTGAATATAACATTGAGGATTTTTTTTTAACTGTTGCTGTTTTAGTAAGACAGTTTGCAAATTGTTTTTCTGTCATATCTTGGATTTTTTTCATTGCTGAAAAGGAATGGGACTTTGGAATTCTAGGGAGGCATATATAGTTATAGATAAATACCTGTTTATTTAAAAAGTACCTTGATCACATTTGATATCAAGTTTGCTTAACTTGATACAATTTCTAAACATGTCCTCAGTCACTATTTAAATTTTAGATGTATTGTTTAAAGCTTTTAGCAATAAAATTCTAAACCAGTTCATAGTTGTAAGAAGTTGTTCCTTTGGGGAACAGGAATTGAGAGCCTAGGTATGGTCTATTCCTAGCATTTGTAATATGGAATGTAGTTTTCTGTCATTTAACTAGGTTTGGGTTTATCCAGCTCCCTGTTACTCTTAGCTCCCCATGTCTTTATTAAAGCTTCTTAGATATAAAGATGGTAGTTCTGAGGTACTCCTTTGTAGGGTTTTGTGGGTTTCTTCTCTGTTTAGAGAGAGAGGTGTCTGAATATGCCTCTTTCCAGCAGATTGACTACAGAAGAAGCCTAACTGTGTAATGTAAAATAAATTCAAGACTAATAACTAATTTTATATATTTTAATTGGCTTGGAGCTCACAAAGGCAAGTACCTCATGGGCTAAAGGTGCAAATCTAACCTATGTGAAATTAATTAGCACAAATATTTATGGTGACTATTTTTTTAAGAGGTATGAACCTCATAGTGAACTTTTTTAATATATTTATTCAAATGCCATGTAAAAGAAAGTGGATGCAAGAGTTACATTCACTTCTCTTTTTTTTCTTGCTTTTCTTCAGTCACTCATTAATTTATCTTGTTACTAGCAACATATTTGTTCTTCATACAGGAAGCTAGTAATCCAGAAAATCCAAACTGTCTTTTTTCCGTGTGGTTATATGGGTGAATATGGCTGTAATATGTTTACAGGGTACCAATTTCAGAAGCCTGCATAAGACTGAATTTATTTTTTTCCCCAGTCCTTAAAATCATTAGGGAAGTCTGCATGAAAGGGTAAAAAAAAAGGATTGCAAATACTGAATACTGAGTCTTAAGCACTCAGGATCATAATTCATTGTTTTAGCATGTTATGATTAAAAAATAAATTTATACCAATTCCACTGCTCTCCTTTGGGAGTTCTTACAGATCACACTTCAAGCTATTTTTCTGCAGCCACTAATGATGGGCATTTCAACTTGTGTAGAAGAGGTTCCCTGTGCAGGACTGATATCTGATGTCTTTTCTTCCTGTGTCATCCATCATATTATTCTGTTCATTAAATACTTCCATAGTATTATATTCATTAAATATGTATACTTGTTAGTAGCTTGTTTTTTGCATTAGTGAGAAGAAATTGTAGTAATTTTAGGGTTTTTAATGCTTATAAGCATCTTAAGGTAATTGTGTCTGGTTTTAGTACTGAACGTCTTTAAAATAAAAGGTGACTTTATAATTGAATTATAAATTATTGTTTTTGTAAGGGCATGGTTTAGGCAGCTGATTATTTATCAGTGGTAGTGTGTAGAAAAATAACCTTTAACTTTCCTTGATTGTTAAAGTGGTATACTTGTGAAAGTTTATAATTTTTTTAAATTAGGGTTTTTTTTCTTACAAATTAGTCCTTATGAAAGTCTCAATATTTTGTTATTCATATCTTGTTACAAACCAAGCACATATGAAAACGTATTTCAGTTGGATCTTATAGCTCTCTCTTGATTAAAGCTTTAACCTCTAGAATGTTTTAGATACTACACTCGAATATGCTTCCCATCACTGAAACATCCTTAATGGTTAATGTTTTTCATTTCCAGCAATGTAAGCACTTTGCCTATGGATTTGCAGAGGAAGTCAGAAAATTGAACTTCGGTGCTGTAACGCCTGGTTATGATTTTATGAAAACACTTAGGTACCTATCTTAATGCTTCTGTAAGATCACTTTTGTGTTGGGCTCTCCAAATGCAAATGAGGAGTGTACATATTTCTTCTATACTGTGGGGTGCTCAACACTCTTTCATTCACCACTAATGTATTTGCAACATTTTTATATAATGATGATGAGTAATGTTGAGCATTTTCTTTCCTCTAGGGAGGGCATAGAGTCTATTCTTCCTTCTAATGTTCATGAGATAGCTGAGAACCGGCTCTATGTGTCAGTCACTAACTCAAAAAGTGGAGAAAATCACTTGGTTTCAAATTTTTCCTCCAGGGAGGACCTCATTAAGGTAATGAAGTTGAATATTACTGCATTAAATAAAAATGCTTGAGCTTCTTCAAGACTTAAGAGTATGTTATTAGCTGTGCAGTAAATCACTGTTTTACTCAAATAACTACATATACTATCAGCGATTCTACAACTGTAACATAAACAACGGAAGCATGATTTGATCCTACAGTTTCACAAATTTTGCTAAAATTCATTTTGTGCTTGTGTGTGTTTCCTTAATCTGTTATTACTAAGGTATATTCTACCTTGTGGAAAAAATGTTTTTAAAAAGTAACAGTGTAACTCATTGTTGCAGTATATGAGAATAAAAAAATATTGAAATTTTATAATAATTTTTGCATCTCTTACTTCACTGATATTATCTATATTAAGTTTCATCACAAAAGAAAGTAAAAGAAGTTTAAAAAAAAACTCAACACTTCCTATAGGTATTTGTGGGGAATAGATATCATGTAATGTTAAGTCCTATATATCAGTTGTATTTTATCTGGTACTGGAAAATACATCTTTTGCTGCCCTTCTCTTCATCTGAATGTCACTTTTTAAATTTGGATCAGGATTATATACATAAGCTGATATGAAATTGTAGGAGGAAGTCAGATGCATTTAAAGCATGTTCTTTCTAGTAATTGATTTTATCTTAGTGGAGGATATCATAAGATATAGCAGAATAAAGAAGGAAAAAGAATAAGAAGGAATTCCCTTTTCTATCCTTGTGGATCCTTAGAGCAAATAAGAGTTTCTTTACAGTTATCACTTAAAAAAAATCACACTTGTTTACAAAATCTCAAACTATACGTTGGGAGTTTGCCTTTAAAGTATCATTTTAAAAAATCTTGATCCTATTATGTTAGTTCTCATAATTCTTAGGACTTCATCATGCAAAGATAATTATGCAAAAAGTTTATCTCTAATTATGCACTGTTATTTCTAGCTATAGAAGTAACTAGCAGTGACAAGCATGGAGATTATTATTCTGTAGGTATATGTGTTTTTGCAGTGAAAACTTCTAACCTGGAGAGAATTAGTAGCATCAGGATGACCTTGGAAATATGAACATATTATTACTATTTCAATAGTTCTCTCTTTGATTTAGCCATTTCTGTTCTTTTGTTCTCTATGGTAGCATTAGAATGGATTGGAATAATAGTAATAAAATTACAAATAATTGCGCTTTGGAATACATTCATATTGTCTAATTTTTCAGTGCAGGTCATAATACATGTTTTTGTGCATACCTTCACCTCTGCGTGTGTCATATGTACAGCTGTCTGAGTGCTGGTGGCTGCCGCAGTAGCGTGGAGGGAAGAGCTTGTTTGGTTATTTGATTGTATGAGGCCTAGACATGACCTGCTACATCCAAGGCTGGATAAAGATACTGCTGAGCAAACTGTTTTACAAACAGTAAAACTTCCGTACCCTCTGTCAGAAATCTTTCAACTTCCATAGACATTTGGTTTCAATGCTTAACAAGCCTTATGGTTTCCAAAGCTTTTCATAATGGCTGAACTGAATAGATGTTGTTACATTTTTAAGCTTTTATCTTTTTTACTGTTCCCAGTGGACATGGAAAGTCAATTAATAATCTCCCACATTTGAAATAGTCTTTGCATATGTGAAGACAGTCATTGTATCAGCATGCCTAGACTTGCAGTTCCTAAATTGGAGGTGACAGGGAAGAGATTTGTGTGTTTGTGGGGGAGCAGGACGCAGAAGACTGTTGTATTTAGTTTGGAAAGGTGGGAGCAGTGTATTGAAGTCCACAGTAGTCTGTTAGTGGTAGAGAAATACTTTAGAAGTGACTTTAGAAGGAAAAACAACTGCCTTTCTTCAGTCCTTTTGAAAAAAATTCAGGTTTTGCAGAGGTCACCTCGTTTTGATTCTTTTCTTTCACTAAACATTTTTCCCTTTAAAAGGGACAGAGTTACTGAGGTGGAGTTGAAGGAGAGAGGAGAAAGGAAGTTGGGCAGGGGAAGATGCTGATGTTGGGAACTTGGGAGTCCTGTGTTATGCTTTTGTGAGGGAAAGGAAAGAGAAATAGCTGCATTTTTCCTAAGGAAACTAAAAAGCCTTTTTATCTGAGCTCAGACAAAGCTCTGGTGCTCTACATCAATGGGAAGAGAAATAGGCAAGAGAATAGTTCTCAAAGTTGAAGACTTTGTATACATATATGGTCTTAATTAAAATATTTAAGGGAGCAGAGGTGCTTAAAATTGAAAGTAGCTTTTTTTTTTTTTTGTAAAAGTAAGTGTAATTCCACTCAAAAAAACTCAGGCATTTTGTTCCACAGTATGCATGGATTGTGGATTTTTCTTCATCTGATCATTCATGTAGTATATACACCAGTTTGGGACCCACTTCTGTTCCCCAAATTGTTTTTTTCATGCCGCCACACAAGCACATGGATTCATCCTCTTTAGCCCTATGAAAAATTCTGACATATTGCAATTTGTCCATGCATTTACCCCTTCTCTTTGAAATGCTGGGTACTGGTTACTTATATATATGTGAGTGGATACATAGGTATAGAGAAACACACATTCTCTCACAGGTATTACTATGAATGGATAGAAAGATATGTGTGTGTATAAATCTGTACATGACAGAACAGTGTCCTGGTCTAAAATAACCCAAAAAACTGAGAGCTGCTGTAAATAGCAATGGAGGTTTACAGTAGGGGAAATAATAATTTGTTAAGTATTGAATTATTAAATGCAAAGTACTGATACTGATAAAGATATACATGTGTGAAGTTTTGGTACATTTGTAATATTTTTGAAAGTTTGAAAATCTGATTTATTAGAAGAGTAAACACTATATTAATATGGCAATAGAGTCACTGGGTTAGTTTCTTCTTTGACAATATATTGCTTTTTTTTCAGCATATACATATTTAGTTTCTCACAAACTGTAGACTTACTTTGTGCAAAACTAAGCTCACACTCTTTGGAATCACATAAATCAAGGAGTTAATTTTTTAATATTTTGTTTTGAGAGTTGTCACTGTCAAGTCATAAAAAAAGCCAATCCTACTGAATAATTTTTATCACATTTTGACATACCACAACAAGAAGACATTTTGAGGTGACAGTGGGTTTATGTTAAACTAATATATTGAGTGGTTACTGCTGTATTATTCAATATAGATAAATAGGTATGAAAATATGTGTTCATTTAAAATTGATGCCTTTCTTTAATTTTTTTTTTCTCTATCCTTTCTGCTTTTTTCTCTCTAGGTCCTGCTAGCAAGTAGCTTTATACCAGTATATGCAGGAATTAAGGCAGTGGAATATAAAGGAGAGGTAATTTTTCATTGACTACCAACTTTCTTTTTATGTGTTCTTCATTTATGATGTAACTATTTGATCTTAAGGGAAAACAACTGCAGTACTGTATTTTATAAGACAGTTATTGTTTCTGTTGATGTTTCAGATTAACACTAGGAAAGTTAATATGAGTTTGCTCATGTGTTGTTTCAGAAATTGTGGGTACTGAGACTGAAATGATCTCTGTAGTGTGAAGCTGTTTCTAAAGATAGTGTCTGACACTTACCGTGAGAAGCAGCTTGTTTTGCTAAAGATTCTTCTCGCCACAAGCTGTGTTATCAACTTTAAAATGGTTTATTTTGCAGTTTAGAGGAGCAACAATCTTCTTTCTGGTTGTTGGAAGGAAAGATAGGAGAAGTTCTTGGCAAGTGGGATGTTGCTGGAGTACATGTGTTTTCATGCATGTTGTTCTCATGTTCTGTATAGAATTATATGCTTACCAGGTACCTTCAAATTCTTTGGAAAAACATTTAAAGAATAAACTTTTTTTTCCCCTAGAGTACACAGCTAGGAAATTTTCAGGAGTGTACACTATTATAAGAAAACCTTTTCACAGTTGTCTTAACTCAATTTAACTTCAAGAATGTTTTTGTCTTTCTTACAGAAATATATTAACACTCTAAAAATAATTTTAGAGGCATGAAATTAGCTATTTCTTTCTGAGAAAAACTACGTGATACTTCTTCCTTTTTTTCCTTGTATTCATACAAATGATTCTTCTGAAATCTCCCTAATCCTCACAGCCACCCTGCCAAAAAGCTGCACAAAACCATATATATTTGCCCCTAGCTAATAGTTATTATGTCAGAAAGCTTTTCAGCTTGAGAATTATATATATGATTGTACATATCAGCTGAAATATTGGAAGGGTTTAAATCAGTATTGTTTGACTGCTTGAGTTAAATGGAGACTGCTTACAGCTTCCCAGGGTCTGGAATTTTTTGTTGGTTGGAGTCTGTTGCTTGTGCTGTTTCAAAGGGGATATATGGATTTTTAGGTTCATTCTGCTATTAGTTAAAGGGAAAAAAGTGTCATTGTTAAATTTTTTTGTGGTATTCTTTTAATTAAGAAATTGAAAAGTTGGCCTAGAGTTTTGTCCAAAACTTATTTAAACCCCATTTTATTGGAATAACAGTTCTATTATGATTGAATAGGTATTGTAATATTTACTGAAGCCTTTTTAGACTTTTTTTTTAACCCTATAATGTTTACTGCAACCTTTTTTCTATGGGACAGTTCTCATTGCTGCCTATGTTTATTTTTTGTATTCAAAAGGTAAATCAATGAAAGTTTCATGGAAACTGATTCTTCTCTTACTTGAAAGCTTCTTTTCATTCCCAAAGCTTCTTATTGCTCTGCTTTAGTGAGATGCAGAAAAGACAGTTTCTGGGAATGAGGTTGCTTTTATTTATTGTTATTTGTGGGAATGATTAGTTCTGCATGTCTGCACTGACTTTTCTCATATTCTGTAAAACAACACATTTGTGGATTAGGATTTTTTTTATTTTTTTTTTTTTTTTTTTTTTTTTTTTTTTTTTTTTTTTTTTTTTTTTTTTTTTTTTTTTTTTTTTTTTTTTTTTTTTTTTTTTTTTTTTTTTTTTTTTTTTTTTTTTTTTTTTTTTTTTTTTTTTTTTTTTTTTTTTTTTTTTTTTTTTTTTTTTTTTTTTTTTTTTTTTTTTTTTTTTTTTGAGAAAACTGTTGCCTGTAGATGCTTGTGACTTCTGTTATTTAGTGCTTTGAGCAAGGTGAGAGCAAAACCTTGGGGTCTCCCTTGTGGTACTATTTCCTTGGTTTGGAATGAGGATATGTGGGTGTGTAGTAAAGCCCAGAAGCAGAACCAGATACACAGCATGTAACATGTTCCAGGCATGGTAAGCACTAAGTTGATAAGATGGATTGGATATTGATTTGGCTCTGCACAGTCACCTATCATAAAGCATTGTATTTCAAGCTTCCTGAAAGCTTTACTGCAACAGACCAGAGTTCTGTCTGTCTGCGTTTACACTGGTTTCAGGAGGTAAATTCCTTAGGCCGTAGGTCCCTGGCAGCATGGAATTCAGATTACTGCCTGCTAGCTGCCTAAGTCTACTGGCCTTATCTGTGCTTTAAAACAGTTGATCTGGGTCTTCTCTGGGCTACATATATCACCTGCACACATATCACCAGGTCATCTGGGACTATTTTTGAAATGTATTTCACTACATTACCTGTACTGTGTTACTGCTACCATTATGCGTGGTATGTAAGCAAGTATGGTGCTAGCCAAACCTTGCTAGCCTGCCCATACTGCCTACAGGGACTGAACTCTAGGATTCAGTTTAGGGTTCATTGCATTTTAATTTTCTTTTTAGGAAGAATACTTTCTGGGGAGCATTTGGCTTCACATTGGGTTTAGTTAGTTTACCTGTAAGTGTGCATGCCTGCAGCCTATGCTCTTGGGATGGATAAGCTAAATTTCATGTTAGTGTGGACAAAACATTAGTCTCCTCATATTATATTTTCTTCTGATTTATGAGCCTAAGAATAAGCTGACAAAAAAAGAAGTGTAAGATAATATATGAGAATTTATTACCTGGGTTGGGTTTTTCAGATACTCTTGGACTAAGCTTCCAGTAACACCAGTGCAAACCTGATCTGTGTGAAATTATCTTTCTTTGACTTAGTTTGGTGTCCTTTGAGTCTCTGACAAGGTTTAATTTTTAAGACAGATGAAGATGATTTAATTGACTGTATCTGATGATGAGTTTGTAGTTTGTGTGACTATAGTTCTTATGGAACAGCTTTGTGAAAACTAAATTGGTAAATAGGTAGATTCTTTTAGGTCAAGCCCACATCCTCATTTTCATTGGCTGATTTGTTTTTCATCGCATGTTATTTCAAAACTTTCTTTGTCTTTACACTGTATTAGATATTAGTGACACTAATTTGGAAGTTACCAGGAATTTGTCTCATCAGCTAAGAAGCATCTCTCAAGAATTTAAGAAATTGAATTATTGAAGAAATTAAAAGAAACTGGGACATCACTTTTCTTTGTCTGCGGCAAATAAATGTTTAATAACTATGAAGAACAAGGGACTGTGGAGCTAAAGTATTTTTGACTGAAAAGCAGTTTCTCCCAAATGCTCAAAAGAAAATAAAACAACAAAATCTACAGAAAATAGTGCTAAATAACAATAATTGGGATGCCTTGGTAAATATTTTGGTTTTCAAATAAATACTGAAGTTAAATAAGAGGAGAGGGGAGAAAGAAATAATCAGAATTTTTAGAAGTGTGAAAACTTTTAAGTTGTAAAAGTGCTAAGCTAGACTTGTGAAAAACATTATTAATATCATCTGTTATGGTTCCTTTGACATGGCTTCCACTTTGACATGGTTCCTTTGACATGACAGGGCATCCACTGTACTTTTCACCATAAGAAATGCAACAAAAACCCACTTGGTACTACAAGGAACATGGCACATGAATCAATAATAAATTAATATTTATAAATACACAAAAAAAAGCTGTGGTGTTAGAAATGTTATGGTATATTGCAGCTCTACTCACAGCTATCACAGCAATGCTGTTATGGGAGTTTGAGAAATATGAAAGATAGCTGTCGTTCTGGAATTTTATTCATTTTTGCCTTCTTTTCTAAGACGAAACAATCTCAATTCTAAGCACTGAGAAATATGATGTTTGTGCAAAGTGAAGGAATTCAGTGGTGGATTGTGGGTGCTGACATCAGCTAATGTCAAGAGTCAAGCGCTAAAGCATACAATGAAGTCACAAGATGAAAAGGGCCATGGAAACTGTTGAATGTTAGTATTTGCAGCTTATATTTTAAAATCAGGAACATAAAATTCATCTGAGATAGCGAAGAAGAGGGTGGTGTGGGGGGGACAGTATGCAAATGTTCAAATGTCATAAAAAAACTTCCTAATCATATATTTTTTTGAGAGCTTTTTGTTGGTTTGTGGGGGTTTTTTAACTTTTGTGACTGTTTTCTCTCTCTGGGATGATAAAAGAAGTGCAGAATTACTAATTGAATTTCGATGTGTAAAGTTCAGTGAGATGCATCTGGTCATCAGACCTCATGTATGATTTTAGTGAATGCATCTAGCCAGCAGAGGGCTGTTGAGTTTCGGGTTATGCATGTAAGCATAGAAAGAAATATGAAGATATAAAATATATTAGCAAGAAGTTTCATAGTTGTCCTGCTTATATTGGAATGGAATTTGGCCATGGTCCTTCTAAAGATCAGATCTACGCTCCTAGATCTCATTCTTCACTATACCTAACTCTTGTCTGCTCCCTCCTGTGTCATAGTTGTTCAACTCCTTCCCACCTTTACCCTCCACTTTCCAGCTACTGCTGTCCTGTATAGTGTAAGTAGGAAGACGTGAGGCTCTGGAAAAAGAATCATAATATAGAAGAGGGGAGGAGTCATGTGGTTTCACTTGTGCAGTCAGTTTACCTGCACATACAGATTGTGCAGCTCCTAGTTTCAATCAGAATAATGTTCTAGAGGAGTATACGGTACTTAATTTGATTAATGTGTAATATTAACAATCTTATATTTTTATGTATGTGTTGAGAAACATTCTGTGTGGGGCATTTTATTATTAGATTAACCAACAAGCCCTATCAGTAGCTTGATAGATACACTAAACACAAATATGCACTTTATGTCAACTGGTCATTGATTCATAACTCTGTGCGTACATTGTCAGTTCCTTATTATTTATGCCACATATTTAATATTATCTATTGTATTCTTGGAAGGAAGCTTGTAAGCTTTCTTGAGAGTGGACTGGAGGAGGCAAGGTCAGGAAGGAAAAGGTATTCCATTGTGATCATACTGTACTAGAGTAACCTGGAAAATATTTCTGTTTCCCAACAGAAGTGGGTTGATGGTGGCCTTACCAATGGCCTTCCTATCTTGCCTGTTGGAAGAACTGTGACGATTTCTCCTTTCAGTGGTCGATTGGATATCTGTCCACAAGATAAAGGACGTGTGGATCTTTATGTTAAACTAGCAAAACAAGATATGATGGTGAGTTACTTGTTTATTAATTACCTTTAAAAGAATAAAAGGTACTTCTGCAGTAAAGTTTAGGTTTATATTTGTCTATTTTGTGTTATATGTCAACTTATGTAAAATTTTGGCATTTTCTGATTTGCAAATGGAGGTTAAACCTTTTCTTAGACACAAGGGAAGGAAAATGTACAATAAAGAAGGAAGTTTGAAAATCATTGATCTAGTAAAATTGAGCACATTATAACAGGCTGTTAAGTGTAAATAATATTAGGCTTGCTTTACATATCATCAGTCTATGGCTAGGTACAGTGTTTATAGGGAAAAAAACAAATTAAATACTTCAGTAAAGGAAAACTCCAGAACATTTCTTCATATTTATTGAACTCTATTGCTCCAACTGATTTTAAAATACAAGTTTAAGTTGTACATTTGAAATGGTATGCAGTGACTTGTCGCCACATTACTCAAGAGAGCATGTGAACACCTGTGACCACAACATTTTTGCAGAAGTCTTGTTAGAAGTTGTGAAACATTTCTGTATGTTGAGATTTAAGACTGGTTTTTATTGCCTATTTTTCATTGTTGATGTTTCTGCCTTTGCAGCCTTTACCTCATAAATTTTAACCAGTCTTACTGCTTTTGATATGATGAAAGAAAACATTGAATAATGATAGATCTAGTGGTCAACAATAGTCCATTAGAAAGAAACAATAAAGATTAACAACAATTGGCACTTTAAGTTTGTTTTTAGACAGTTTTTAATGTTTTCCTAATTTTAGTAAAATTAGTGTTATGTAATTTCATTACAAATTGGACCAGTTTCTGAATCTTTATAATGTTTCACAGAGGGATTTTAATCATGGTAGTACTTGGCAAAAGGTCATAAAGTAGGAGATTATTTATTTCATATATTTCAAAAATATACACAATTACTGTGTATTTCTTGGTCATATTTGTATCTAATATCTAGTGTATCTAGAGGAGGAAAAATGAGTTGGTGATTAGTTTAGAGTAGAAAATTGATTGCTGCTTGGGTCATGCATGTGCGGACTTGTGCAGAATCTCAGGAAACATTTTAAACTATTTGATTTGAAGCATCTCTAGCTCTTAAAACTGTAAGAATGATCACTAAGAATATTTTTTTTCCAGCAATATTGTTATCTGCATAAATTGAAGAGTTGTATATCTTCATTTACCCGTATTGGAATGTTAAAAATTTTCTGTCTCTTTGAATCGCCTGCATCCTCTAGGATGAATTTGAATAATTGAGTACTTTAAATAACAAAGATGATTTTGATATTGTTTTGCAAAATTGTGTATAATAAATTATGTGGCTAAAATATAAAGTTAATTATATAAATGAATTGTTCAGAACATTATTGAATTTAATTATATTTTTTATTCGGCTGTAATTTAATAAAGTCTGTATTCAGGAATAAAGCTCCAAAATATTTTTACATGATGGAGTGACCACTTAAATAGCTGAGTAGTCCTTAATTTGTTGGTAATAAAAGCTACGTTTATACTTATATGTAAACGTTGCCTGGGAACGTTCCCAAGGATGTGGTTGTTTGCACTAGTAAGTTGTCAAAATATTTCCTTGCACAAGTTTAGCTTGTGCCAGCTACCACTCTGCCAGACAGTTTTGGGAGTGTTTCCAGACTTAAAGTGTTTCAAAAACTTTGGGCAGTTTTACAGGCAGACAGTCTGTGTTGGATGCTGTGAGTTTAATAGTATGTATGTGTTGTTTGTGCCAGTTTGCCTTGGCGCTCAGCAGTGAACCTGGACGTGGTTAATTTCCTGGTGTAGACACAGCCATGCTGGTCTTTTGTTTTTGCATATGCAACATGAAACACATGACAGAACAGTCACGTCTAGATAAGTTGCTTTAATAAACTAATTTGTAGCTTCTTGCTCTGTTGCAGCTGTCAGTGGCCAACCTAGTAAGACTTAATCAAGCTTTGTTCCCACCAGACCAGGAGAAAATGGAATCATTGTACCAAAATGGCTTTGACGATGCTGTACGCTTCTTATTGAAAGAAAACTGGTTTGAATAGATGGCACATAAAAAAGTAGCAAGACATGATGGCTGTCAAAACACAGCTACAGGCTGCCTGGAGAATCTCAGGGATTGCTGCCCCGGTTGCTGCTTGTGAAAATAAAGATCCTAATGGATTTGAGTCTGCTTCTGCTGAGAAAGTATCAGTTGCACTCCAAAGAACTGTATAAACATGTCAGAATGAAAATGGTGCTTGCCTGGTGGATGTCTTGTTTTGAGGAGGTTCCACTTAAATTCATTCTGCTTCAGCTGGGGATTTGAGTGTGGGATTTGTAAAAAGCTTGTGTTGTCATAATAACAGAAATTTGGAAAAGTCTTTTTCAGTGTTGAGAGACAAATTGATGTAATATCATGAAAAATTACAATCTGTATTATTCACTTGTGCATATTAATTGGATGCTCTCAGTGTCACTAATCTAAAGCATTTCTTGCAGTGTTCTAAAGGACTTGAAGATTAAACACTAGCCACAAAAAATAAAACATTTGCACTCTTATTTTGTGTATTTTTTCACATTAAAATTTCTTAATTTTTCAGTGAATGTGTTCTTTTAAAATTTGAAACACTGAAATTTGTAGCAGAAGTGTGATATAAAAATAGCTTGTAAAGGGTGTAAGAAGTTGTCATATTTATTATATTTTCTTCCTCTGCCAAAATTGAATAAATATATTTTCTTGAATCTTTTGTCAAGAGTTCATTTATAAGTTTCATGGAATGCTATACTTCAAGTTCAAGATTTTCAGTCTTAATGTCTGAATGCTAAAATCCACAACCATTTATTTAAAAGCAAAGAGTACTGGTTTATCAGTGTGGAGTTTAAGTTGGTTTATGTAAAAATTTAAAAAAAAATTGGAGGTTGAATTAAGCATGTATGAAATTTTAGAATTCCTAAGAACAACTGAAAAACCTGTGGATAAGGAAAAAAAACCCCTTCCATAGCTGTTTGAAAGCCTCTTCAGCACGTAACCACCAGATTTATATTCATATGTAGATTGCATCAAATTAGCATTCATGAGCATGGCTTGAATTATTTTAGTACTGTTTTCGATAATGAAAGAAATTTTAAGAAAAGGAAAAGGCCAGTGTAAGGCCCCTCACTTTGATTTTAAAACAGGAACTCTTTCTGGATGCGTGAGATTCTGTGTACAGTGAAAACAGGATAACTTGTGTGATTTCCAGATCTGTAGGACAGCATTTTTGCATTTAAAGCTGAAATAAGTTACCTTTGATCTACCAAGGCACCTGTGCCTCGCTCACTTGCATTCTCGTTTATAGAGAGGATAACTTTCAGCATGAATAGCAATAGTAGATGATGCTATTAAAAATTTCTCTCCTTTCATGTTGATCTGCTACGGTCGAAGTCTGTGATGCAATGGTAATACCTGTTCAGGAATTCTGGTGGAATCTCGAAACAACTCTTTTTCACTGCAGGAAACACTGAGAAATACAACAAGATCAGAGCTTCTTAGACTTTGTTTCAGCAGTAGTTGTATTCTTCAGGGAGTGAATATTAGCCGTTTTGAGACAAAGTTCAGGGGGTTTTTACCACTTTGCAAGTTCTTCAGTTGTTATGGCTCTTTCCTAGCTAATTGTGCTGACTAATAACCAGAATTTTCTGTTAAAATATCATAAATCAGTTGTCCTGAAAAGGAATCCTTGCCACCTTGTTTACGTTTCTCACAAAAGCCTAAGGTATTAGGAAGTCCTTTTTAACAAGTCCTACATAAATGGAGTTGAAAATCAGTTAGTGATCTCTTTTGTCAAAATATACCTGTCGTGGTTTTGCCCAGTCGGTCAGCCCCTGGGACTGAGAATGGTTTTGTCTTGGTGAATTTCCAGACAAGAAGCCAATTAAAACTCTCAGTAACGCCTTTGCTAATTACATATTTAAGAAAACGGAAGAGAAGGGGATTGCGCAGTTGAAATTAAGAGCAGCAGCCATGTAGAGGTGGCAACAAGGCCCTAAGAGGGGCTAGGCCCCCTCCTCCCCTGGCCCTGGGCCTGGGGCAGGTGTGGCACTGAAACTCCCCCCTTCTCTTCTGTAAGAGAGTGAAATAAAAAAAACTTTAAAGACGAACTGCTTGGACAGAAACCGCTGCAGAAAAATTCCATCAAAGAGATAAGGGACCTCCAAGGTCAAAACTGGCAGCCGGAAGAGAAAGAAGAACTGTGCAAAGGAGGGCTTGTTTCTTCCCCTTTTTTGCTCTCTCCCTTCAGCCAGGAAAAGACTGAAAAGTAATCCCTGCTACCTGAGAAAGTTTGTTGGGGTGAGAAGACCCCCGTGCTGCTTGTGGAAGAGTCTACACTGGAGTAAGTTGATGCATGAGGAAGCCGAGGCTTCATGAGAAATCTGAAATGAGACAGAGTCCTATTGAAGATTTTGTGACCCTGAAGGAAACCCACGCTGGAGCGAGACGGCTCAGGTGGGATGTTGGGATCTCAGTGGGAGATCCATGCTGCTAGTGCTGGAAATTTGTGACCCTGAGAAAACCTCACGCTGGAGCAAGAACGGCTCAGGTGAGATGTGGGGATCCAAGTAAGGGATCCATGCTAGACCCATGCTGAGAGGTCTATTAGGGACTGTTCTCCCAGAGGGAACAGGGGTGGACTTATAAGCCATTATCCCCTGTAACCCTGTGGAAGAAGATCCATAGTAAGCAAGTGTCCCCTTGCAAGCCTATGGAAGAAAAACCTTCAGACCTAAGTAACCCCCCCTTAACCCAGGAGGGGGGTAAGCCCAGCCCTAGAGGCCGACACAGAAGAAAAGAAAGAATTCCAGCTATGGTGAAAATGCTACAGTGTTACTGGAGAGAGAGCTGGAACTCCGAGAATGGAGAAAAGGACTGCTTCTCCTCCTCGGACTAATATAGAAGGGGGGAGGAGTATTTCTGTAAATACTTAGTACTTTACTTATGTAGAAATTATTGTAAATATAGTTCATTAGTTTTTGACTTGTTAGTAGTTTTTGTTTTACTAGTAATATATACTCATACTATTTTCCCCAAATCCAATCTCTTGTCTACATAAACCTTCTCTCAACTAATAGTAATTGTGTGGGTAGTATGAAAGCAAATTGACCCAGAGCAAAACCACGACAATACCTCAATGAAATAAATGGATTTTTAATTTCAGGAATACTTCTTAAATAGACTCTGTTGCTTCTTTCAGATTCATTTTAGGTGTAGTCCTTGTGTGGATGAAAGCAGAACCTCCACTCATCAGAATTTTCTGGTGGACTTGCTACACAAATAGGCTACAGTAACTATTTTTCAAAAATATGTTACTAATATCTTAAAAGGGTGAAGGAAATGAAATTTGCAAAAATTCCTACCTACTTTGTACCATGATGCTGTTGATAAGTGTTGCAATGAATATAATTGCAAACAATACTTATAATTTAAATAGAAGGTTTGGTTTCTACTGAAACATTACTAGCTCTTCTAGATGTGTTGTCTGGGAAACCATTGCTTTGGTTTATTTGGGGTTTTTTTTCAGATTTTATGAATGCTTTTGAAAATCATTAGTCAAATCTAGAAAATGAGGTGGGCTAAGGTAATATTTTATCATAAGAATGAACATATTTTTAATTACAAAGCCCGATGTTAATATCTGTTCTGATATTACTTCAGATTATGCTAAGGATATGCTAAGACACTTTTTCTTGTTTGAATATTCTGTGCAGAAATATACTTAGACAGGTAAGACATACAAAGCCTAAGAGACTATTAAGGTTATATAATTTCTGTGCTGCATCTGTATCTTTCCCTCTTGGTCTATAAAGGTTGTCTTAAGCAGCAGAGATCATTCTATGCTGAAATACATTTATTGATTTTAGGGAGCTAGTCTGAGATCCTGTTATACTCCAGAGATGTGTCTCGCATGATTTAGGTATTATTTGGTCAGGGAGTAATTTTTTTTCTTAGAGAATTTCATATTCTCCCAAAGAAAGACTTGTGTTCAAGAATGTAAGCTGTATGGCTACACTGTTTCTCCTGTAGTCAGATCAGTTACCACCATTTTTTGTTCATATGCAACAAAGGAACAGCAAATTTGAAAAAGATTTTTTGTATACTGACAAAGGAGAGAACTTGTGCAATTATAATTGTACTAGGGAAAGGTGGAGAAGCATTAAGAAATCTGTTTTCCAGATTTATGAACTGGACAGCTCTGTAGGACTTGGTGTCTTACATTTTGATTATAATTTTGTTAAGGATAGACAACATGACACCTACTGAGACCAGAAAATTGGCATTTCAGTGTGAGAACAGAAAAATACAATAGGTTTCCATCTCTCCTCATGAAGCTGACTATGAAAGGAAAAAACATAGAAGACCACCTAAGTCTGTCTTTAACCATGAGTTAAGTTAGTGTTCTCCATAACTGAATGTTGTTAGCATAACATAAATGAAGTTACTTTAGGCTCTTTTGCATGACACAAGGTAAAGAGGGCATGCCCAGGTGTTCTAAACCCAAGTCTTCAGTTAAAACTTCACTCTCTGCATGCTGAGGCAAAGAACAGCTTCACTTCTTTTTAGAGCTGTTGAGGAAGATCACTTCAGTCCTTGAAATGAAAGAAACTCATTCCTGTGTGGAAATTGGATAGTGTTGGGATGTAGCATTCAATTAATGCTTGTATTCTTGGTTTTCATGATTTTCATGTTTCAGAAATGCAGTGAATTTTTATGTGAACATCAATTGCTCTGTCTAGGATATTCAGGAGTAATTCTGTGTTTTCCCAAGAGCTCTGTTTTCCTAAAAAGACTCGACTCAGAAATGTGCTCTGATGTTGAAAAATTTGGTCACGTTTGTGTGTAGAGATTGGAAATGAAGATCACTATAAAAGTGCAGCAATTCTTGTGTTAGCTAATACAAATAGCAATTGTCTGTGAGTACTAGGCTAAGCAGTAATGCTCATCATCCAGATGAGCATTTATACTTCTATGAATATCTGATAGCTAGACAAGTACTTTATTTCTTCAAGAGCAGTTCTTTGTATGAACTTCAATACCTATCCTTTCTCCCAGCTCCCTCTTCATATGAACATCAATTTCAATCCTTTTTCCCATCTTCTTTTGTTTCTCTAGATAACTATATGGCATGTATGCTATTATCCTGTATATTTT